GTTCGTGAATATGAATTTACCACCAGTCATCATTCGTTATTGCGATGTTATTACCAGTCATCTTCCATGAATATGAATTTACCATCAGTCATCATTTGTCATTGCGAAGTTATTACCAGTCTTCTTTCGTGAATATGAATTTACCATCAGTCATCATTTGTCATTGAGATGTTATTACCAGTCATCGTTCGTGAATATGAATTTGCCATCAGTCATCATTTGTCATTGCCATGTTATTACCAGTCATCTTTCGTGAATACGAGTTTACCATCAGTAATTGCGAGTTTATTACCAGTCATCGTTCGTGAATATGAATTTACCATCTGTCATCATTTGTCATTACGAGTTTATTACCAGTCATCTTTCGTGAATATAAATTTACCATCAGTCATCATTTGTCATTGCGATGTTATTACCAGTCATCTTTCGTGAATATGAATCTACCATCAGTCATCATTTGTCATTGCGATGTTATTACCAGTCATCGTTCGTGATTACCAGCAGTCATAATTTGTCATTGCGATGTTATTACCAGTCATCTTTCGTGAATATGAATTTACCATCAGTCATCATTTGTCATTACGAGTTTATTACCAGTCACCTTTCGTGAATATGAATTTACCATTAGTCGTCATATGTCATTACGAGTTTATTACCAGTCATCATTCGTGAATATGAATTTACCATCAGTCATCATTTGTCATTGCGATGTTATTACCAGTCTTCTTTCGTGAATATGAATTTACCATCAGTCATCATTTGTCATTGAGATGCTATTACCAGTCATCGTTCGTGAATATGAATTTGCCATCAGTCATCATTTGTCATTGCGATGTTATTACCAGTCAACTTTCGTGAATATGAATTTACCATCAGTTATAATTTGTCATTGCAATGTTATTACCAGTCGTCTTTCGTGAATATGAATTTACCAGCAGTCATCTTTTGTCATTGAGATGTTATTACCAGTCATCGTTCGTGAATATGAATTTACCATCAGTCATCATTTGTCATTGCGATGTTATTACCAGTCATCGTTCGTGAATATGAATTTGCATTCAGTCATCATTTGTCAACGGGATGTTATTACCAGTCATTGCTCGTGATTACCATCAGTCATCATTTGTCATTGCCATGTTATTGCCAGTCATATTTCGTGAATATGAATTTACCGCCAGTCATCATTTGTCATTGCGATGTTATTACCAGTCAACTTTCGTGAATATGAATTTACCATCAGTCATCATTTGTCATTGCGATGTTATAACCAGTCATCGTTCGTGAATATGAATATACCGCCAGTCATCATTTGTCATTGCGATGTTATTACCAGTCAACTTTCGTGAATATGAATTTACCATCAGTCATCATTTGTTATAGCGATGTTATAACCAGTCATCGTTCGTGAATATGAATTTACCGCCAGTCATCATTTGTCATTGCGATGTTATTACCAGTCATCTTTCGTGAATATGAATTTACCATCAGTCATCATTTGTCATTGCGATGTTATAACCAGTCATCGTTCGTGAATATGAATTTACCATCAGTCATCATTTGTCATTACGATGTTATTACCAGTCATCTTTCGTGAATATGAATTTACCATCAGTCATCATTTGTCATTGCGATGTTATTACCAGTAATCGTTCGTGAATATGAATTTACCATCAGTCATCATTTGTCATTACGAGTTTATTACCAGTCATCTTTCGTGAATATGAATTTACCATCAGTCATCATTTGTCATTACGAGTTTATTGCCAGTCATCGTTCATGAATATGAATTTACCATAAGTC